GAGTAAGTACGTGGCGAACGCGTCATCGTACTTGGCCTGTTCCAGCGAGTCCTCTATTTGGTTTCTCGTGTACCCCATACTAGCCAGGGCCTCTAAAACAAACAGGCGTAGCGGCATAGTCACAACCACTAAGAATATCGTCGCGACGCATCGCGCGACTACTTTGAAACACGAACCCATGCTCTCCTCGACATACCCATATCTCGCGTCTACGACAACACGACACGCGAGTCGACAAACAAAGATCTACGGTTAAACTGAACTAGGATTATTGATAAGAAGCGTTGGTGGTTTTGCCGTGCAGAAAATACACCTACTCGGAGACACCTTTGTATTTTTTTCTTTTTCTTTTGTTGTTAAAATACGATTTACCGTGTCAATCGTCGACACGCGGCGAGGTTAAGGGAAAGAGAGAGGTGCCGCCGAAGCTACGGACACGATACGTTGCACCGCAACACACTCGGATCTAGAGGAACGTTCGATTACGACCACCTCGGGGCGAGAGACGTAGACCGCTCGGGACGCTTAGCGGCCGCGGGCACGCCCAGTGGTCGTAAACGCACGGATGCAACACATTTCTACATTTATATGTAAAAACAATAAGTAGTAAGTGTTATGTACATACTGGCAGACTCACCTATCCTCTTGTGGTCTTTATAATCGGGCTCGGGTTCTAAGTACGGTTTTAGTTCGTCGTCCTCGTATCCCATGTTCATCCATTTGTCTTTCATTATAGTCTAGAAAGGTGGGGAAAGGGGAAAGAGAAACGCCGCGATTAAAAGCACCGCCGTGAATCATGTCGGTGGAACGGACCGCTGTACCAAACTTGTCTCGCCACGTACCTCTAAGCAGGCCCGTTTCGTCGGGTTGAGCACCAGAAACTTTTTCAGCAGACTCTCGCAGTCGGTGGACATGTAGAACGGGATTCGGTATTTTCCTCTCAACACCCTCTCCCTCAATTCCCTTAACGTCGAGCCGTCGAATGGTAACGAGCCCGACACCAGCGTGTACAATATCACTCCCAACGACCAGACGTCCACTTCCGGTCCGTCGTATTTTTTACCTGTCGAAAATGTAAGAGTTCGATGAGACAACGGTGTTCTCGTATCGGATGTAATCGTCGAGGATGTCGGAATGCCTGGAAGAAACACGGTGAATCGGACGGTTACGAACGCGTACCCTGAAAGAGCTCGGGTGCCGCGTAAGGCGGTGATCCGCAGAAGGTGTCCAACTTGTTGCCCGGCGTGAACTCATTGCTGAAACCGAAGTCGGCGATCTTGATGTTCATCTCGCTGTCGAGCAACAGATTCTCCGCCTTCAAGTCCCTGTGGATGATCTTCTTTTGATGGCAGTATTGCACGGCAGAAACGATTTGCCTGAACTTCGCTCTGGCCTCCTTCTCCTTCATCCGACCGTGTAGAACCAAGTAGTCGAAAACCTCGCCGCCGCTGGCGTACTCCATCACCAGGTACAGCGTCTTCTCGGTCTCGATCACTTGGAAGAGCTTCACTATGTTCGGATGGTCGAGCATCTTCATTATCCTCACCTCTCGGAATAACTGTAAATCATTCCAACTCAGTTCTCCCTACCCCTGTTCGGTCTCTGTCGGTGTACTAAGCCGGGAAACGCTTACCTTCTGGAGGCTGTTCGGATTCAGTTGAGTCTTGTCTATGATTTTGATGGCCACTTCTTTACCGGTGGGCACGTGCTTGGCAAGCTTTACCTTGGCGAAGTTACCCTTGCCAATGGTTTTGAGTAATTTGTACTTGCCGATGTGGGGTTCCTCCGATGTCCGACTCCTCGACGAGAGCCGACCGACGTTACTCGACACTCCCACGCCATCCCCTGTCTGCAACGAACAGCAAATAGAAACTGTTAGAGACTGCGCCACTCGCGGAGACAGCGTACGCGCGAGAAAACTTTTCTGCGGCCGCGGCCGCGGCCGCTTTTCTTTCTTTTTTTCTAACTGAACCTCCCGTTCTTCGTTCCACGGTGGAATACAGTTCTCGTATCGTTCCCGCGAATCTACGCGACGCGATCGTTTAGCTGGTTGTTCGCACGGAAATCGGTAATAACACGACGCGCGTCGCTGGCGTTTATTTGTGAATCGCGAGACCACGCGCATTTCCAGGGACAGACGGATAGTCTTCAATAGAATTAATTGAACCTCGTTAATCCCGCGACGACGGCAGTCGCGAAACGAAAACTCAACGGTGATCGAACTTGTTGTTCCATCGGTGTTATAGCTTCGCGTCAACTGATATAAATTAAGATCTCGTATTTTCATATATTATTTTACTATGGTTCCCATGTCGAAGGTATCTCGAAATACGCGAATATATTCGTAGCGCGATCCCGATTCGCGAGTGCTCGTCGTCCGCGAGCGTACCGCGGAATTTCAACGATTCGGGAGACGACGGTGTCGCGACAGCCACTTTCGTAACTGCTTTCTACAACCGTCCGCCCGCTTTCGTTTCTGCACCGTTTCTCTGTCGCGGAGATGCGGGCGCGCATGCAAAAACCGAACCGAGTGATCACACATCAGATTTGAATTTTACCCGCGCGCGGACACGAATGACCATCTTGCGAGGGGTGGCAGGAGTATCTTTCCAGGCCGCCAGCTCGACCGATTCGCCGATCGATCTTTTCGATGCCCCGAAAGATGGGAAAGCGAACGCGTAAGTGGGACTAAGGGTCGTCGACGACGACGAGGAAGCGGCAGCGGCGGCGGCGACGGGCGGCGAAGGCGGAGGCGGCGGCGGAGGCGAAGACGACGGCGGTAAAAGCACGTATCCCACTTGGTATCGTGGCACGTGTGTCGGTCTGGAACGCTTTCGTCGCCCGAGTCACTCGTTTCCGCACGGAGAAACGTGAACGGCGGTCCCGGGGCTACGAGGATAACGTTCGGCCGCCTGCGTCAGCCGATTCGACGCGATCCCCTTTAAGCGTTTCGTCCTTATCGAGCATTCCCGTTCTCGCGGCGCGTCCCGAGTTTCACCGGGGCCCGATAACATGTCTATCTAACGCGTCGACGGTGGTTACGACCGCTGTGTGCAATGTAGCGCGAGCAACGTTCACCCAGAAAAGAAACGATCGCCTCGGTTCTCCGTCCGGAGGAACGATCGGTCGTCGTTCGCGACTTCGTTACGATCCGGCGAACGAGTTTCCGTGTCGTGAACGACGACGTTCAACCGATAGGTCGCGCGAGCCGAAAAGCTATCGCTATCCGTAACGGCGATTCGCTCTCTCTCTCACTCTCTCTCTCTCTCTTTCTCTCTCGGGAGAATAGCGATTCGAGGGGCGCGCGCGCGCGATTCGCAAGCAGTTCTACTATCTGCTATTTACACTCTTAACAGGCTCGCCCGAAGAGGTTTTCTTCGACCGCGCGTCACTGGACACTGTTCGTCGCGCGCTCGTATCCTTGGCTGGCCGCACGCCGGAAGCATCGGTTGTCGAACCTCGCGAGCAACTTTCACCGGAATTCGTATCCCCGACGAAACTGTGACGATTCATCGAAAGGGAGCGACTGCCACGGAATCGATCCGTCTCTCCCACGAAGCTCGGGCTTGACCTTTGAACTACCGTTGACCGGGGACCGTTCAACGAGACGATCCGCCACAGTGGCTGGAAGACGACGAGGGCTCGAGATGCTCGGACGAATCGATCGACGATTGAAACGGTGGCGGCTTCGGAGAGGCGTGCCGTGGGTGTACACGACGTCACTGACGACGGCAGCTCTTCATCCGTGGGCTCGGTCTATCCCGAGGAAAGCGAGGGCCGAGCGAGTGCCGAGAGGAGCGGAGCATCCTCTTCGTCTCGCTGGTCGGGCGGCGCGTCGACGTCGGACGGTACCGGACGCGGCGAGTCGCGTCTGCGAGCGAGTTCGAACGTCCGAGCAACACCACCGCGAGGGGTTGGTCGCCGTCGAAGTTGGCCGTCCGACGACGACCGTGTCCTCGGTGAGCCGCGAGTCACGCAGAACAGTCCACAGCCGAGGGATGCGAAACCGGAATCAATACGCGGCCCCACCACCCCTTGTGTCGGTGTTGCCGTAGCCGTAGCCGAAGCAGTCGCCGTCGCCGCCGCTGGAAACGTGGCAGCGAACCACCCTTGGAAGCCTGGCTCTTCCCGAACTCTCCCTGCCTTGCCAGCCTGCTTTCCTGCCTGCCTGCCTGCCAGCCTGCTTGCTCGCTTGCTTGCACGCTCGCTCGCTCGCTTGCTTGCCTACCACCTTCCTAACGAGTTACCCCGACGACCGCGACGAGCAATTCGCACGCATGCGCCCCGCTGGCCTCTGCTCGAGTAACAGCCGCTTCTGCTACCATCACGCCGCGCATCCTCGCTACATTTTTGGCGTGTGCTGGCGCTCGCTACCAGAGGGCTGCCACGACGACGCGACGCCTTTCCCGCTTCCACTCGGTCCTCTGCCTACAGATTTCTATATATACCGTCAGTAACTTTCCCTCGAACCGCCCCTGCGCTCAGCGGATCCTCCGTTGGGTAGCCTAAAGCCAGGCGTCCGTTCGAGACTGTCGCCGGTTGATCTTAAGATTCCTCGCGAAAGGATAATACGCTCAGAACGACGACCAGATTGATGTCGGATGGTCACTTTCGGAATATTATCCGCTGGTGGAATGCTTTCAGGAGCAACCGATAGGTTTACTCTCAAACGGACATCCAGCTTTGTCGAGCCCAACCAGATCTCGTAGACGTACCGTCTCTCATCCGATTACTTCCGTCCTACACTTTGCTCCCTCGTATCCTCGTCGTTCGTTTCAGCCGCCAAAGCCGTGCCCACCTCCCGCTCGCGCCGTTCCTCCACTTGTTCGGGGGGAGACGCGCTAACCCCCTGCGCGCGCGATCGAAATCGAGTTTTCGCTCGCTCAGCTGATCGCATCGAACCGCCGCGACGGCCGCCCGCCGCCCAGGCGGCGCGTCTGCAGATGGTTGCTACGCGGCCGATCGAAACGGGTTACGCTCGTCGACGATTTCGCGACGCCTCGCTCTGGAATCTCCGTTTCGGCTGCGAGGCACGATCGCCGCGCTCCTCGCGCGATGAAATACGTATATCGGTAAGGTCGATGGATGCCGCGCGAGCCGGTCGATGGTACGAGGTCGTACTTTATCGCGCGATGCGCACCGTGAATCTTTCGACGGCGAATAATGCTCGGAAGACGGAAGGTCCCGTCGAGAGGAGCCGCCGAATGACACGCGAAACGGAAGGAGCCGCGCCGAGTTGCCGGGGAACAACGGGAGAACGGTCGGACGGGTTCGAAGTTCGGAGAAACTTTCGACCTATGCGACGACGTGGAGAGATATCGCGCGGAAAATGACTCGCCTACTCGAATTCCTGCCGAAAATCTTGCCGAGAGCCACGGGGAACGATCGTTCTCCGTTCGCCTCGCCTTTGTCCGCGGTTTAATCGCCTCCATCCGGGGACCGTGTGTGTTTTCGCTTAACACTAGAACTACCAGACGGGTCAAAATGACCCGTTTCGGGGTGCATCGTTTCGCGATTACCGGAATCGCAGAGGGTGCCTCTGCCTCTGCGCGGGAAATGGTCGAGTGAATTCGTTTATTCGTGGCCACATCACAAACAAGAGTCGGCTGGGATTACAACAGACGCGTTCTCGCGCCTTTCCCTAAGTAATTCAAAACGAGTCACTTTCACTGTTCGGTACTTCTAGTGTTAAAAACCCCACGACAGGGTTTACCTTGATTTTCTGGGCCTTCCGCACGATGTCTGACAATGGCTTTAGCGCACTGCGAACCGCATTGTTTTCCTGAGGTTGTTGTTGTTGTTGTTGTTGTTGTTGTTGTTGCGGTTGTAGTTGTTGTTGATGATGATGCTCCTTTTTGATATTAGGACGCGCTAACTGCTGCGCCCTGTTGTACGCTCGGAGCGGTATTATCGCTTCCTGTCCTCGCCTGGTATCCGAGGCTGTTCTCGATAGCTTAGCAGTGCCCTCCTTCACCGTGATCCCGGCGTTTCCCGTCGAGTTTCTCGTCGCGTCTCCTCGTTGCAACGGGGAATCCCTTATCGTTTCAATTTACCGTCATCAGATTTGCGTTTTCCCCTCCTCCCGACGCTCGTTCAGCGATTCGGTCGACGGGATGTAATACGTTATAAACGGGGGGGAACAAGAAAATAAAGAGAAAAAGCAAAAGAACAAAAGAAGAAGAGAAAACTAAAAGAAAGGAGGGCATACCCGACAACGTTCCGCCGCGATCGGTTGCGAGCAAAACGAACGAAGGTCTCGCGATGCGAGGAACGGAAAAGAACCGAACAAAACGAAATGAAAAGAGAATCGATAGGGAGGTTGCCCGGACACGCGAAGGAAAGAAAATTTACCCCTCGGCCTCGTCATCCGTCACGTTTCGAAGCAGGTCCTCGTGCTCCCTGTATCGAAGCTGTATTTCCGGCTCGAAATCGGAGCTGGCCTGCAACGGACGCTCTCTGGCCGCCAGCGTGCCCATTTCGATGGCCTTGACCTGCAGCTCCAATCTTTGGAGCATGTCAGTGCTCTCCTGCACCGCGGAATTGTCTTTCTGCCGTTGCTGCTCCTGCTGATTCAGGATCAAATCGAGGCTAATAGGCACGTCCGCCAACTCGTCGCTGGCCACCGCGATCGGTTGGACGATCTTCGAGTCCTTGAAGGCGTTCAGCTGGTCCTTCAGGCTGATCTGACGCATCGTTCTCGGCGGCACGATCGGGCTGGCCCCGATCGAGGCGCGAGTACTCGCGGTGCCGTCCGCGCGGCCCGATGGTCCACGAGGACTCTGCGAACTTTTCTTCTCGACGACTTTCAAGCCGCGGTCCCCTTCCACCAGCTCCCACTGCTTCAAATTGTCCAGCGGCGAGTGAGGAGCCACTAACCGGCCAGTCGACCTGGGACTGGACGTCTCCTTGGGCTGCCTCGGGCTCGGCGTCGGCGTCGTCTGTTGACGCTGACCGTTCGCCGTGCCCGCGTCGATCGTTCCCAACGCCTTCCGGCCGACTTGCGACCGAATCGAGCTTCTGCCCGGTTGCGTCCGTGAGAACGGGCTCTCCCGATTATTATCCATGACACGGCGGGGACACGGTTTCTAGGCGTTCCCTAGGGTTTAACCTTCTGACGTCGGTAAAATCGCCGGGAGGCTTCTCGGCGGGAAGGTTCGTCGGCTGCTGGATCTATGGGCTCGATCCTCTCTCTCTTTCTCTGTCTCTCTCTGTCTCTCTCTCTGTTCCCTCTATTTCTGTCGGAAAAACATGCGTCCTCGTTAAGGATCCCGCCGGCGACTCGTCGAACGCACGATCCTCGTCGACGGAGGGACGATTATCACACACTCAGAGCACATTCACATTTACCCGTTAGCCCGCGGACGGGACACGACTCAGGCGACCGATCTTCGTCGATACGGTCTGGCTCCCCCTTGGCGACAACAACATGGAAAGACGATCGATAAGCAAAAGAAAGCAGCGACGCGTACACACGATACGAAGGCACACAGTCGATGCTGGGCGAGAAGAGTGCGGTGCGAAGCTTCCTCTCGACGGGGCGGCGAGACGAAGGCCTCGCGGCCTCGCGCGACGATCGGCGCGCTCTCGACGCGCCTCGCGGACTCGGTCAAACCCGAAGGCGCGCCGTCGTCGTGGCGAGGTCGGCGCGCGAGCGGCTCGGCTCGCTCGTCTTTAACCGTTCAAGACCGCGGACGCGTTCGAGCAGGAACGAGTTCATCGTTCCACGAGCAACCACGAGAACCCACGAGAAATCCGGAAAACGCGCGACGGACGGTGGTGCGGTCTCTCGTCCCTCGCATACGTTGAATCGGAGCACGATAAGCACGCGTGCGCGGCCGCGGGCGAGCTGGCACCACGCGTTATCGAGGCGTTGGTTCCCCGATCTCGAGCGACGGGACGGCCGGCTGGCT